TGTGCTGTGTCAGACAGGCAGAATGAGGGAGCAGGACAGCTGTCCAGCTGTGGGGTTGCAAGCAGCCAGGGCACTGCAGCAACAGCAAGTAGGTACTTTTGGCCTGCGCACTGAAGAGCTAGAAACTTCCAGTGAATGCAGTGAGGACAACTCTACATGTTCAGGAGATTGGAGGGGAGATGGATCCTTAGAAAACAACTGTTCAGGGTGTTGGGCCATGTGGCATATGCTGTTTTGTGCTTTAACTGACTCTGTATCATGGAGTCTTGAAAATACCTAGATTGTCACTAAAAACAGCAGCCCTTAAGCTTTTAGATCCATCAAAATATTTACTATTGCAAGCCATACATAGTAGTTACTGTAGGATAGTTGATATTAGCTGCAATTAGAAACTGCTTTTGTATTTCTTATTGCTTTTCTCTTTTAAAAAAATCCACACCCTCAAAGAGCCAAAAAATGGCATTAAATCCTCAGTGTGAGGACAAAAGTACTAACGTAGGGCAAGATTTCAGTGATTTCCCCTCCAGAATTCTGAAATGTCTTGAAATAAACCTGTCCCTGTGAAGATGAGGGGAAATCCATAAATAGAAATGACTTAAAACTGCACAGCTAATACTGGGTTTTTTCTTACTCTTATTGATTCACAGAGTGTACAACATACAAATCATTGCTGCACCTGCCAAAGCCGTATTTATGGGAGGAGGGCAGGGAAAGGAGTAGGCATGTGTCATAACTGACTTCCTTCAGAGTTATTCTCAGACTGCAGTGACATAACTCAGATGTGTGACAAGCTTTGATTAAAAACCTCCATTTTAAATATTCAGGTGGTTATTTAGAGGGAGTTTGGGCACTACTCTTTTTAGTGATTTGAATAGAACATTACGGTTTTTGTTAAAGCTGCCCCTTGAGTGTGGAATTTGCAGGTACCAAGCTACTTTTGGTGTGCTATTCTTAGAAACTGGTCAGTTTTCAGATACTATTTTTTTCCTTTGTGTGGCTCTTCAGTATTAATTATAAATCATCTTTTGGGTTGGGAGGTTTTGATTAATTTCAATACCATTCGGTATGCATGGAAAGGCCTTCATGATCTCTCTGAAGTATGGTCCAGTTGTAGCTAACCAGAGCCCCAAGAGGAGGGAAACAGCAGTGTTTGCAAGCAGCGTTTGTGTCTGGCAGATTTACCAAGAGATGTATTGACTCTGATGTGGATTGACCAGAGCTGCCTGGATCTGGAGCACTGACTGACCAGGTTCATTAAAAATATAAAAATAAATAACACAAATGACAGCTTTGAGCTTCATAATGTATGTTCTCTGGGGACACCCTCTAAAATGGAATCTAGCAGGGGGATTTGGATCTGCATTTAGAGAGGCTGCAAACAGCAGCTACTTGAATGCAGAGCGCATCAAGGATGTCTTTCCCAGTACCTAAAAAATAGCAAGGTATGCAATGCTAGAGGCTCTTCTATCCCTAAATGGCACCAAAGAGAGCAGCTGCACATGAAGTGATTTAATACTGAACACATTTACTACACTCATTTCTATCAATTTATTTTGTATATATAGCTTTTTATACACATTTTTCTTAATTACGTAACTGTCATAAAACATTACGAAGTTGTAGTTTGTTTTAATGCTGATTAAAACTGGTGTTTGGCTGTTTGTTTTCTGCAGCAATTACTTGAATTTTGTTTCCATTAGGTAGTGAAGTCTGATAATGTTTACAGGATGGCTTTCTTTGGTTTGGGGGGCTTCCCCATCTTTATTCCCAGCCCCTGCCCCAAGAAGCAGAGCTCATGCTGAGCAGTCAAGCAGATGTGTCAGGGATGAAGTATTTGGATCACATTTATTGTTACCAAAGCATTCATGGTGACATGCAGATTCCCTTACGTTTACATTGCTTAGCTGACTACTACACGCTTAGTGTAATCCTGTGATTTCTCCTGTCCCTGAGCCCGTTGTATCAGCTTTGTCGTGGGAAACCTAAATCTTTCTGTATGACAATTTACAATCATAAAGCTATCCCAGAAAGAGGCAGCATTCCTGCTGTTAAGTCTGCCCCTTTTTGAACTTAAGATGAATGAAACATCCCTGGGTTATCTCTGCAATTGCTTTTGTATTTGCCAGCGAGGGTGATCAACATTTGCACTAATCACAACGTCCCAGCTGTTCTACTTCCACATGGTTATTTTTAATTGTGCTGCCTAAACTTGTAATGAGTTGTATTTAAGTTTGGGGTGATGTGTAGAAGAGACATGTAATAAATACACACTTACTGTATTTTTTGTATGTTACAGATAGGACTAGTCCTATGCACAGAGAAAACATTGCCATTTATAGTTTAATACTTGAAGTAACTTTTTAAACGGGCTTTTATAAAAGAATTAAATACAAAATCACATTGCTTTGCCTGGAAGTTCCTTCATGTTTTAATTGTATTTGCAATTTCCCCGTATGTATACTTTTCCATAGAAGTTCTCTTAAGCTGTTTATAACCAATGGAAGTGCATTCAAGATTTTGTACATCAGTGTTCAGACCTGTTCATACTTCTCTGAAGTACAGTTCACGTTTAAATAAAAAATTACCATTTTAAGCCTCTTTTCCAAAGTGATATGGACTTGACACTTGAATTCATTGGTGAATGCAACATCAACTTAATAAAAGTATGTGAAAGAATCTGAAAATTGCTCAGCTGTAGCATGTGTGTATTAGTGAAAAAAATTGCCTCCCTGTGAAACACTGTGTAACTGTTCTAGTTTTTACACTCCAGCTGCAACAAACCTAAGATTACACTTCTTGACACATCTTCCAGGTCACTGGGTCTTGAGGGGAAATATAAAACCTGACTTGGGGCTAACTTCAGGACACTAAGCCTGACTTAGAAGTCAGTCACTCAAAGAGAAATCAGCCATGTTCCTTTTGATCAGAAACAATCTGTGTAAAAAGGCAGCAACACCCAAGTTGACACTGACATGACACCGACACTGGCATTTAAATTAAACAATTCTTTCCATAAAGTTTCTTAAAAAAACTCTGTAACTCTAGTTCACCTTGGTCCTTGCATGCCTGACGGCAAGTGCCGTCAGTTGTGTCTCAACTGCTGCTGTACACAGAAGAATCCCTTTCAGAAGGGAGAGCTACCAGCAAGAATTATCTGGCCAGTGCTAGCAGAGAATCCCCTTCAACACAGCAGGTGTGTTCTCCAGGCTTTCAGAAGGAAATTATTGATGCTATAAATCTAGGTTATGTATAAATCTTTACCACTGCACCTGGTAACTCGCTGCTTTGAGCCCTGAAGAACAGAGGGCAGGCAGATGGTAGAGAGTCACACAAAGAACTGTCCTTTTCTAAGAAGACAATAATAACAAAATATAGTGTTCTACAGGACTACTTTTAATGTAACATTCTGTACACCGTAACAAAGTCTTACTTCTCATCCGCCCTAATTACACTGAATTACAAAACCACCATAATAGGTACAAGGGCAGATCCCATGGCAGTGTATGACATATGCCAAATATAAATATGCTGTATTATTCAGCATATCCACTTTTTTGTCACATTTAAGTGGTTTAAATGATCACTGATGTATCTGTGCTCAGGAAACTTGGCTTGTTTCAGGCGTTTGAAAGCTTCCCACTTGGCACGTCTGTGTTCTGTGTTGTGTTTGTACTCCTGCTCCCTGGTCAGGTAAGGCCGGCTCAGCCAATATTCATTCTCTGCTTCAATTTCCAGTCTTCGGACCATTGCTTGCATCATTGAAAGGGTAACCTGTCTTGGTCGCCTGTACTTCCCAATCCATTGGTGTCCAGGAATTCTCTTTCGAAGTAATACTGTTGTTAAAAACATTGTGCCTCAAAACATAAACAGAAACATCAAATACTCATTACCTTAGGAACAAGAATAAAAGTTTGACAAGAAAAATTAAAAGCTCTGAACACTCTCCACTGCTTTTTAGCTAGTTTGAAGGTTCAAGTTCAGAACCTGATACAACCATCACACACAGCAAGCAGCACAATGCCAGACATACTGGAAATTTAAGATTAGAAAAAGGAAACCTGAAATATTTACGTATCTTAAGAATTTATTTAGTTACCCTTACACTGCAATTAAAGCATATCCCCCACAGATTATTTAAGAGAAATCCAGCCCTAGGGTACTCCAGAACAAAGGGTTCCCTTCATTCATGCCCTTTTCGAATAGCTAACTGCACTGTCAAAACGGATTATTTCCAGGTCTGTCCTCTGGATCCAAACCTGGCGTTTCCTCAGTATTAGCTTCTGAACCACAGTCTCTCCGTAAACTTACTGGTATGCAATCACCTAGTTTTGTATTCTGACTAGGGTAAATCTGGTCAGTAGAGAAAAAAAACAGTCTGTATTAGACCGACTGGCGAACATGGAAAGCACCAAGACTGACACGATACACAGGGTGCAGCAGAGGCAAGAGAGGCCGAGTTACATCTAGACTTTACACACGTGCTCTTCATTAACCTGTTTATTAGTCCTAAACACGCCTCCCAGGTCTGTTATTACAATGTACTCCATCAACTCGCATCACAGAATATTCTGAGTTGGAAGGGACCCACAACGATCACTGAATCCAGCTCTTCGCTCTGCTCAGGATATCCCCAAGAATCAGACCACGTGCCTGAGAGCGTTATCCAAACGCCTCCTGAACTCTGTCAGTCTTGGTGCTGTGACCGCGGAAGTCAGACGAGCGCTTTACACGGCACAATCCAGCAATGGCGCAGAGAGAAGCCACCCTACCCCGTTCCCCCAGTGCGGACGTGGCCCGATTGAGAAGCGAAACCGCGGGGCTCCGCGGGGACAGCGCTGTCCCGGGCCCCGTTCCCAGCCCGCCCTCACTCACCTGGAATCTCCGGCAGCTCCGGCCCCGCGGCAGGAACCAAGATGGCGGCGGGCGGGCGGTGGGCGGGGCGCGGCTCTCGCGAGGCGCTCGCGAGGGGCGGGGCCCGGGCACGCCAATGAGGCGCGCGCTGGCGGCAATTCGAAGCCTCTTCGCGGCGCGCGCGGCCTGGCCCGGCTTCCTCACGGACGGCCCGGCCCAGCCCGGTACCTTCGGAGCTCCCCCGCCATGGACGTGTCCAGGGCCTTCTTCAGCAAGCTGCGGGGCCTGGCCGTCACGCTGGAGAAGGAAGTTGCGCAGCTGAAGCAGGCCGTGCGCAGTGAGGACGCGGGTAAGTGCAGCCCGTGGTGACGGGCGGTACGCCTGGGACCGGTGGCTCTGCAAGAGTTCCTCCGAATTCCTTCCTCGACTTGCGTTCCCGCCTGCCATTATGCCCCTGTGCTCCTCTGGTGGGTGCGGGGATGAGCCTGGGAGTAGCTCGGGAAGGAATTGTTTGGGCTCCTCCCCGTGTTGATACGTCTCTGAGCTCCTTCGCGGCTGCTGTGGTGGTTTAGCCCTAGCCAGCAACCAAAGACCGCACAGCCGCTTGTTCCCTCCCCCACCAGCGGGATCGGGGAGAAAATCGGAAGGGTAAAAGCCAGAAAACTCGTGCGTTGAGATAAAGATATTTTAATAGGAAAAAAAACCCGCGCACACAAACAGAACAAAACAAGGAATTAATTCACTGCTCCCCATGGTCAGGCAGCTGTTAAGCCATCCCCAGTAGAGCAGGGCCCATCATGCATAACGCTGACTTGGGAAGACAAACACCATCACTGCAAACATCCCCCTGTCCTCCTCCTTCCCCCAGCTTTATATACTGAACATAATGTCACACCGTCGGGAATATCCCTTTGGTCAGTTGGGGTCACCTGTCCCGGCTGTATCACCTCCCAGCTTCCCATGCACCCCCAGCCTTCTCACCAGCATGGCAGTAGGAAAAGCAGAAAAGGCCTTGGCTCTGTGCAAGCCTTGCTCAGCCATAACGAAATCATCTCTGTATTATCAACTCTGTGTTTAGCACAAATCCAAAACAGCCCCATACCAGCCACTGCAAAGAAAATTAAGTCTACCCCAGCCAAAACCAGCACAGGTGAGGTTTTTATCGCAGAAAAAAACAGGGTGAACACGACAAAATGGGAATTGCGTTCTTGTGCTTCTTTTCATGGATTGATACAGGAAAACTTTTGCAGGGCATGTGCTCTCTGCACAGATAGCTCAGGCACCCAATTGTGTTTATCACTGTGTATGTCTTGTCACGTAGCAGGTGTCCTCTTTTACACTATTTGCATTAGCCTTGGTTTCCAGTGAAAGAAGTAATGACTGCTGTGTTGTGGAAGTGAACAATGCATCTGCTGTGTGCAAATACAGTGGAAGAATTCAGTTTTCTGTTGATATGAGGTTTTCAGTGGTGGCTGTATTACTTTTTTTCATTTTCATTCAAGCTCTTTAAGGATAAAATTTTAACATAAATAATTCTTTGCAGCCCAGGGACCTACCTATTTTATTAACATCTGCCATACATTAATTTGTATAGTATTAACTGCAACATTAAAATGGAACTCTGGACAGTTTCTCTGTGGAGTTTAACACACTGTACAAAGAGCAGTCTCCTACTGTGCTAGGTACTAATGAGAACTAGTTCTCTTTGTTTTTCTTTATCTTGATTCTCTTCCTCTAACATGCAACTCCAACTTCTCTAATATCATAGAATCATATGACCAGGTTGATCAGAGCCCCAACCAGCTTGGCCTTGAACACCTCCAGGGATGGGGCCTCCACAGCTTCTCTGGGCAACCTGTTCCAGTGCCTCACCACCCTCACAGCAAAGAAGTTCCTCCTATAATGTGTAATCTAAACCTGCTCCCTCTTAGTTTGAATCTGTTCCCCCTTGTCCTGTCACTACATACTCTTGTAAATAGTCTCTCTCCATCTTTCTTGTAGGCTCCCTTCAGGTACTGGAAGGCCACCATTAGGTCACCCCTAAACCTTCTCTTCTCCAGGCTGAACAATCCCAATTCTCTCAGCCTTTCCTCCTAGGAGAGGTGCTTCATCCCTCCAATCATCTTGGTGGCCTCCTCTGGACTTGCTCCAACAGGTTGATGTCTGTCCTGTGCTGAGGAACCCAGAGCTGGATGCAGTGCTTGAGGTGGGGTGTCACCAGAGTAGAGGGGCAGAATCTCCTCCCTCACTCTACTGGCCACACTGCTTTTGATGCAGCCCAGAACAAGTTGCCTTTCGGGGCTGCAAGTGCACATGGACGGGTCATGTCCAGTCTCTCATCCGCTAATACAGGAGATTAAATTCTGATGTAGAATGTACTTGCATGCTAAAACACTAATGCACTCTTTTTATTTTCCAAACCTTTTTATGTGAACATGCATATCAAAGACTCTGAAGATGAATCTTCAGCAAGGGTCTTGCATGACCTTCATTGTGAAATCAAAACTCTGAAGGTAACGTCTTAACTCATTTCCTTCTTGAAAAATTGTGGGTGTGTGTGTTTTCCATAAATGTATGGCTCTGTTTTGATCAATAAGCCACAATTCTACTTTGTTGTTCAGCAGTTATGACCCTTAATTTTACTTGCTTACCTCCAAATCCTCATAATGGCTATGGATATTGGGCTAATGCCCAAAAACCTGTGGGTGACCCGAAGTAGTTTAGCAGTGTTGATTAGTTTGCAGCCACTATTGTCACTCAGGTTGTCAGGGGACAAAGGTAACAGGGAAATCGTAGCTGTGCCAAGGTATACGTACGTATGAGGAGAAGGATTCAGGAGCAGAAGGTCCCAAGAGAAGAGGTAAGCTTGCTTCTGTTCAATGACTGGCCCTTAGAATAAAGTCAATCTTCACAGAAGTGTCAGTACCTTCAGCCATTCAGTTAAACTTGTCAAGAATGTTCTCTGTTTCTTAAACAGAAGTAGGAAAAATGGGTTATAGAAATGAGCAAGTGTAGACATAATTGAGGGTTAAGCTAGGATATAAACTTGAGGTTCACCTTTTACTCTGCGCTAATTGTTTGTACATGTGGAGTAGGTGTCCAAACTAATTGCTGTCATCTCATAATTTTATGGAGTAAAAACGTATTTTTGTTTGCAAGGTGAACTGTCATGCTGTGAACTGTCATCATAATTTAACTTTTCTAAGTTTTTATATACTCATGGCCTATATATTCCTGATATTCTGTAGGTGTATATATACCTGATAGTTTTCAGGTATAGATAAGACCTAAATTAGCTGCTTTATCTGAATTGCAGTTGAATATTTACTCCCAAAATGCTCCATGTCTAAACAACTACCACATGGTGATTTGAAAACCAGTATTTCTATTTTTTCGTTTCCCCTCTCTGCCCCCAAAGGAACATGTTAATGCCAGTTTTGGTAAGAGTTGCTCTGAAAACCAAGCAGTTCATGAGTTTATGAAGGCACGTGAAATATTGGTGCAAAGAAATGCAGCAGATCTTGGAAAAATAAGAGAGCTGTTCCGGAAGTATGGCTACAAACCACCTGTCAAAGACTCTACAGGTAATATTTCTTAGCAACACAGAATGTGAAGAAAAATATAATTTTATAAAATGTTTCTCTTTAGCTATGTGTATATTTCTATTAATTAAGAGATCAAGTACCTCTATATTATTTGCTTTATAATAATATCCAGAGGGTAAAAGATTTTGTTGTGATTGGTGCCATGAGAATAATTCAAAACACATGAGAACAATTCAAAACATACACTTGGAATTAGATCTCCTGACATGGTTTTATGTTAGTATGTGTTGGTTGTTTTATTTTTTCAGTAATAATTATATTCAGAAAACATGTTAGCAAGACTGATTTCATAACGCAGAGAATTACGCTGCTTCAGCTTCTCACACTTGAGAAAGTATTGTAGATGCACCTCAGTTGGTTCACATTCGTAAGTGATGGTTCCATTAACTTAAATCATCATAGAGAAAATCTTAAAATAATGTGTTCTTCAGCACAAATGAAACAGTAGAATTATGTACAGGGATTAGGTGACGTGACAATCAGTAGTGGCTTGATCGTTGGAGGGGAAGGAGATCCTTAATCCAGTCAGAAAATGCACACACACCTGTCTGAAAAATCCAGGTGTGCCAAATGAGTTTAAAATACTCCAGCTGTCAGTATGACTCATACCTCTTTGAGTATCAAGGGCCCAGTCAGCTTTCAAAAAGCCTTTGGCAGGGCACACCTTCACCTTCTCTGAGCATTATCCCATCATTACAAAACAAAATTGTGGTCATGGACCATATTCATGTACGAGTTAAGCTACTACAGCTGTTTTACAAAGATAGGGCAGAAGGCTCTGATTGTTATAGTACCTTTCTTCCTGTACTCTCTCTGCCTTTACATAGCTCCAAACAGAGCTACAAGGTTAATTTATTTTTTAAGATGTATTTTTAAGCTAAGTACATCTGAATACATGATATCAATGCACATAGAAAGGTGTATTACTTTAAATAGCATTCCTCCCCTCACCCACTTCACAGAATCACTTAAGTTGAAAAAGACCTGAAATCATCAAGTCCAACTTATGACCAAATACCATCATGTCAACTATACCATGGCACTAAGTGCCACATCCAGTCTTTCCTTAAACACCTCCAGGGACAATAACGCCACCACCTCCCTGGGCAGTCCATTCCAATGTCTAATCACCCTCTCTGTGAAGAAATTCTTCCTAATGTCCAACCTAAACCTCCCCTGGCACAGCTTAAGACTGTGTCTTCTCATCCTGTTACTTGTTACCTGGGAGAAGAGACCAAACCCCACCTGGCTACAACCTCCTTTCAGGTAGTTGCAGAGAGCAATAAGGTCCCCCTGAGCCTCTTCTTCTCCAAGTTAAACAACCCCAGCTCCCTCAGCCTCTCCATAGGACTTGTGCACCAGACCCTATCCCAGCTTCATTGTCCTTCACTTATTACATCGTGCAGAAAGTCATTAATGTTTTGGGGTGTTTCAGTTTATCTAACTCCAAAAATGTACAAGTTACACATTTACATATTTTTGCAGTGGATTCTTGTTATCCAAAAAGCTATCTTCTTTCACAAGTTTTTAGTTGCTGCTTCATAACCTTTCTTCAATACTGATTATCTGAAGAAGAAGCATTCTAGTACTGTGCACCCTTACCCTTTGCTCTTTCCCGAAAAACATTATCATCTCCATGCAGGGAGATGAATTCTATGAAAAATACTCTTGTGTAAAAATCTTTCAATTTCATCTTTCTTAGAAATAATATTTACCAGCAGAGTGAAATTCAGTAAATGTGTGACTTATATTATGAATATAGCTTAGCCTGATAGGAGGTTTTGATATGTGTTGCAGTGTCAGGTTCAGTCCTTTAAAACAAAGGAAAGAATTTTTACAATAATAAATGAAAAACTGTGAATACTGGGGAGGTGTCCCAATTTATTTTATAAATCTTAGAACAGAAATTCTAACATAATTTTTTTCATTTCTTTTCTTAAAAAGAAGAAGAGGAAGGAGTTAACAGTGAATCGACAGTGTCTGCCCAGAATAAATCTGATGAAGAAAAAGCAAATGATCTTCCTGCTTGTACTGAGAAGCCCCTGTTGCCCAAAACCCAACTGTGTAGCCCCCAGCTTTCTGATTTTGGTCTTTCACAATATGCTTTCTCCAGGCCTTGGAGTGCAGTGAAAACACAGAACACAACAAATGCACATCAACAACAGTCAAAGAATGAGACTCCACTGAAAATACAAACCCCCCGTACTTTGCCCAGAACACCAAAATGTAAGCTGAAGATGGATGGTTATGAGTTTGCAACACCAAAACTTGAACACTTTGGCATTAGTGAACATACCATGTGTATGAATGAAGATTATACAACATCACTTATTCATAAAACTGCTCAGACAATCGAAAAGTAAGTACATTACTGAAGTTCAGATTGTTTCTCTACTGAATTTGGTGTACTAATTTCTTTCTGCTGTTGCCCTCCTCTTTGTCTTTAAGCAGGTGATAGGGTGATATCGACCAGCTGGTTCGTCCTATGTCTTTATTCAACTCTCTACATGTCTTTTCACGTACCCATTGCAGTGCCAACAGTGCCAAATGCTGCCATGAAATGCATCTGATATGCTCCTTCCCTTGACTGCACCACGATAAGAATCTTCCATACACAATGTATTTACAAAGGGAAAACACACAGTGTATATGTGATCTTTTGCTTTCCTTAACTGGGGGTTCAGCTTTGGGGATGTGTTGTCTGCACAGCCAATTTAAAGGTTTCAGAAGCTTTAGGAATATAAACACAGTAAACAACTTGCAAAGCACTCAGTAAAATGCCTCATTGTAGAAGCACTGTGTTGTCTCTTATATAAGCCCCACCTTACAAACAGTTTGTTGTTTTTGCTCCAGTCTTCTCTTGAAAAGACATCTCAGTGTTCTAATTATGAAGAAAAAAATTGTAGCAGTGAGGTATAAAACATCTTAGCAGTATAACAATTTTTCTGTACTTCTGAGGTAATGTAAAGGTAGTCAATAGGTCATGTTTTTACAGTTAGTATTAGCAACATGTTCAATTTTAAAAGCTGACAGTAGCTAAATATTTGATATTTAGAGAAATCGTTCAAAAAACAAGAATCATATTCATGAAAACCACTTTAAAAATTCTATTTATCATTCTCATTGTAGAAACTAAAAATGAGATGGTTTCAGGTATCTATAATACTTCCAAGGTAAAACTGACTTCAAAAGTTACTCTTTTTTAACCCAAATTTTGAGACATATTCATCTAAGTAAAATATACAAAATTGTTTGTTGTTTTTTTTTTTAAGCTTAGGCATTTTGTAGAGAAGCTCTAGGTTTGGTTCCCATAGCTAAGATAACTTTTTAAACACTTAAAATCATTTTCTTATAGACACGCTTTTTTATATAGTTTAGGTAAGCTTCCACTTTTTGCCTGGTTATATGCCTCTTAACTGCATATGTCATTCTTCTGCTAGAATATCTTGGATATGAAAAAGTAAGTTTAAAAATTTCAGTTTCCAATATTGTAGAATTGATATTAAATGGCTTTTCACTCTGAAGTTGCTACATTTTCTTTTAAAATAATTCTGGGATTTCTCCTTTTAAATAGGTATGTAAATATTATAATTACTCTAAAGCTCTGTAGTATTTGATTAATATAAGTAATCTTATTCAAACTTAAAAATTCAATTAAAAATCATTTACTGTTCACAATACTTTTACTAGTTTTAAAGCAAAAACGATTTCCTCTTGTTGCTTAGAATTTTGTAGGTAACAGGCAATTCAAAATAAAAGACTGTACACCTAACACAGAATTGGTCATCTGGGACATCTGTCCTACCCTGGACATCTTTTTGTTTGGTTGGTTTGAGTTTGGTTTCTTCCTAATGCCTTGGACTGAAATCTCAGAGTATTTGATAATTTGTGGCTGGACTGAACATTTGCATACTACAAATTGCTGCAGTAGAATCATAGATGAAAAAATAATCTTTGAGAAAATTAATTTTTTACTTACATATTGATGAATGAATACTAGAAAAGTGATCAGGCTGACAGTATTCCCTCAATTGTGACTGCTTCATAATATTTGAGAGCTAATTGAGGAGTTTCATTTTCAGGTTGGTTAAAATAGATGATAATGGAGGGGATGTGCCAGAAATGACAGCCAGGGAAATCATGGTTACTTCTGTGCCAAAATCAAATGTGAGAGCTGAGAATGGTAAGTTAAAAATACGTGAAATAAATATACATATGCACTTTTTTAGAGGATGCATGTGTAAATGCATTATAAACACATGGTAAACTTCAGTTGTGTTTCAGGTTAAATACAGTTAATTCAGGCCTAGTGCTTCTTAGAAATATGGATTGTTCAGAATGCGTCCATTTTCCTGCAAATATCCCACACAATGACTAGGCCTGAATTAACATAACTTTGGAGGTTGCAAACTGTATGAAAACTCTGCAATGTTTATAGTTGTTAGCTGTGTGAAAATTGTATGTTTATAGTTATAAGGTATGAGAAAATCATGTGTTTATAGTTGAAAGTTGTGGGAAAACTGGAGATAAAGGGACACCTGGAAAATCTCGGAAAGCCCCTAAAGGCAGATCGATAGGAGGGACTTTGGGTGGCACAAATTATGTCAGAGCGCGTGGACAGAGCCTCAGAACCAATGAACTGAAGGCATGAGACGCGTGCACAGACTGAGCTATCCAATCACTTTTGTTGTAATCATGTACCCGGGAAAAGCTAACTGTATAAAAGCTAACTCATTTAAATAATAAATGGGACATTGCTTTGATCACATTGATCGTCTGCGCGTTGTTTCCGGAACTCCTGCCATCCATATCATTGTATGAGTACTAATGTCTAAAAAATGAAATGTTGATGGCTTCTGTGGGAAAGTTTCTCACTTCAGTATAAATCTTTCCTCATTCTTCTCATATCCAGCTGGAATTATACAGAGGAATTAATTATTTTGTAACTGCAGCTTATCCTTATTTGAAATAAAAATACTGTTTTGCCAACTTAGCCTTTTTTTTCCTGAAAATACCCGTTAGATCTCTTTAAAGACAGGAAAGAAACCACTTTGAGAGAGGCTAGTGAGATAGTTATTTAGGTCTTTCAAGAGTAATGACAAAGAGTAAACTTCTTTGAGAGGAGAAATATGTTCTTTTAAAAATCTGTGAGAATCTTGGGACAAACAGAGTGGCAACTGGATACATGAGAAGGTAATGCAATGCCCATTTAAGCTGAGCTTCTTCAGGTGCATTCAGTAATGGGAGTAGAATGATTATGTTTTTTTGGCTTTTGCTGCTTTTAAGGAATACTGTAATTTGGATGGATCAAACAAAAAAAAATCAGCTAAAATGATACAGGCATTTTAGAATATGCAAATCTGTGAAAAGCTTAGACTTAGAAATTAAGCTGGAACTGGTAATATTTATAATATGTGTGTGTGTTCATGTATGTATTTTTATTTATATTTTGCTCACGCTTAGTATCAGCAGCTGACTGGATGGCTTCTCCTATGGTAGTTGTGTTCTGTACTCCTGATGTGAAGGTCTCTTCCAAAACAAATAGAACAGTATTACCAAGGTCACCAGAGACAAAGGAACTGCCTCTTCCCAGTCATACAGCAACACCACAGTGTCCAGATTTTCAAACAGGCTGGCTAAAAAGAGAAGCTAAGGTAGTAAATAGCAACTATGTACATTTTCACACACTTTGCCATAAGCAGTTTTTAAAAGGTTCATTTGGGATTCTTTTCCAATACTATTTTTTCTTATGTAACTGTAGAAGTTCTTTGTAATGGTATTTTTTTAAGAATATTTACTAAATACTTCACCTAACATAAGTAAATTAACTGAAGGCATTTAATACCTCTTTTGCAGCAGCAGGTAAAGCCAGGGGGAAAGACTGAGTCAGTGACAAAGAGTGATGCAAAAGAGAAACAATACAAAGATAGCATTCCTTTTGCTGTGAGCCCTGATGCGTATCTTAAACATCTAGGGGACCCTTCTCCTCCCACAATAAAACACTATGACCAGTTACTCAATACTCCTCCACCTCCAGAAGTAACAAGGATACCAGATGATGTTCTACAGGTCAGCTAATAAACTTTTTTCCTAAATAATTTTAATATCAAAATAGTAAAACTAAAAGTGCATAGTTCTGTATGTAATCCATCTGTTTTGAGTTCTTAGATAATTCTTTTTAATCCCATTTAATGTTTCCTGTAGATTCTGTCCAAATACAATCATAAGATAGGCTCTTCTAAAGCCAAGGAAATGGAGATCAAGGCAGGAAATGCTACAAGATGTGAGAATGATTCCACTGATTACAGCAACAAAGAGAACAGGTATGATTGCATTTTACAGATTTGGTTGGGTAGTTTAATTTGTAGGAGCTACAAAGATTGTTTAATGCATTTAGAAATCAATGCAGCTGCTTGCTCTTCAGCTACCAGAATAGCTCTTGCTTCTGTGACTAAATAACTGTATTTTGGGATGGTATCTGACTGCCTGTTTGTAAAGAACAAGTTGATTGTGTGTTTGAATCTTCACAACTTAAAAAAAAAAAAAAGGAAGGGAGAGTTTTACTGGTTTATCTGTATTTATATTTCACTTGGTGGCAATCAAAGCACCAGCAAATGCTTTCTTCTGAATAAATTTAGGCAACAAAACTAAGAAAATTGGAGAAAAGCATACAAATGAGAACTGATTTCACAGTTTTGGCAAAGTCAAAATTTTTTGAAATGCAAAGCTACAACAAGTATGACTAATCTTCAAACAATGGAACAATAGCTTTATAAAGAACAACACCAATTTGAATATAAAGAAGTTTTTATAACAACTTTATCAAGTGTAGATATTCCTGATTGAATGTAATATATATTATGCTTGTTGATTATCTGTTAAACTTGGAGCCTGTACAGATTATTTAGGTAAGAGGTACAAGGAACGTGTATGGAGTCAATAATAACAACAAAGCAGAGTGAAACTGATAAAATTTGGTATCTTGCTAGACTTGGGAGTTGGAATCCATTTGATTAGTCAAACAGAGCAAAGCTCTCACTTTAGCTGACCCTCCAATTTTGTTATCAAGATAAAAAAAGACAAGTTTTCAATATTTGTGTCTTCTGCTAATTCAAAATATGATTGAAATAAGCTCATGAACTCATCTGGATATATTTGCAGAGGATATCGTGGAGTTTTCAAGCCAAATATCTGAAATCAAGCTGAAGACCGCATTGAGACTGTTTCATGTTCATGGATCTTATCACTGAATCATAACAAGTTCAAAAAGCAAAAGGAAATACTGGTGGGAAGAAAGAGCCCAAAAAAGCTTTTTTAAATGAAGAAAAATTCTTTATCCACAATGTGGATAAACTTGTTTGAAATAACAACTTGTGCTTAATTTCCTACTGACATTATTGGCAAAATGTTTCGAGGGTTTTTAAATATATTATGCTTCAAAGAGGAATGGAGAACGAGGTAGTACTTCAGTTGTTTATTGTGTAGGCTTGCATTGCAGTAGGCTATAGAGAGAGCAGTTGGGTTGTCATAAAGGGAAAGTCCAGTGTATTGCCCCAAAAAGTGGTATCTCTGGCTGTTCTTGTGACACTGTACATCTTTTCAGGGCTGAGTTTGAAGTCTAGTACTTCAACAGTATTGGGTATCTTCAACAGAACTAAGTCTTTTTTTATTGGAAGAGTAACTCCTGCTTTACTGTTTAAAGCACTTCTGTGCTTTCGATCACTTCTGCAGCACTGAGACCTACCCGACACATTCCTGCACCAGGCTCACAGCTACCTCCCTGTCAGAAGGGCATTTCCCATGTGGTTTCTTCCTTAATATCCATTGGCATAGTATCAGGTGCTATGCATCTGGTTACTCTGTAGCTCTAGAGGGTGACTCTGGCTCGAATGTGAATTATTTGAAAATGTATTGTGCAATTGATACTGGTTATATATATCTTCAGCTGCTGGAAGAATTTGCTGGCAGGCATTTGGTGATTGCTTACTCTCCTGCGCTGCTACCATGTGTATTCTCTGAGTGGTGGTGTCACTTCTAAAAGGGCACATCTGCTCCTGTTATAGCGGACCCAGCTTAAGTTCTCAGAGCTGTTTGGCCATCTTTTGGTATCTGGTAATCATAGTAATTAGGATTTTTTTCTACCAGTGCTTTTACTGTTGGCCACAAGAAAACCCAGTACATATCCTTGTTTGGAGCCAGGTTGCTCTTTCCAGCGTCAGCCGTTCTTCTGAATGACTCCAGGACTGCTCTTACGAGTTGTCTTCCTCTTGATGGCTGAAATATTGTCATTTATTTGAGGGCAAACATGCAACACATGGGAAGAGAGACTGTCCCAGGACATGAGAATAACTGTATGCTTTTCAGAACTCAGTCTGCATTTTTTTGAAATCCTCAATGAAATGTGCTAACATCTGGAGATGCCCAGAGGTATTTCTCTACTTGCTTAGACAGACTGTCCTTGTTAAAAACTTAGCAAGTAAAGGTGCCTTTTTCCTGCTATTGTGGTCATTCTCCAGGATAAGTGTACATCAAATTTACTGGAGAAGGTGATTTTCTACTAGTTCTGACCTGAGCACACTGTCATTTTAAATGCTTGTTTCTGTTTGAAAATACCTATGTATTATGTGTCAGTCTGTGAGCTTGATTAAGTTTTGGATACTAAATAAATCTGTCTCAAATGCTTGGTGGCTGCTCTGAAACACTTCTTTGTTCTACCCAATTCCTTCAGAGAGTGAAGGCCAAACCTGCTTCCAGCATCTTTCAAACCACATGGTGGTGTGGATTCTAGTCCTGGAATTTCGTGGCCTTGGAAAGGTACAAAATATTCTGCTGCAGAGCAAGAGTCTTTCAGCCAGACAGATTTACCAGCACTAAGCAGGAAGTGTTTCACAGTCTTAATTCTGTAGCACTTCATGGCTACTTTCTTGCCCTGAAGCAAGTCAGATATTCTGAAAGACTCCATTTAATGTGAAATGGAACAAGCAGCACTACTGTCCTGGACTTTGCTGTATTCCCCCTACGTGCAACTAACAAAATTCACAGAAGGGCTTATAGAAGTCTTTCCCCTAAACTTGAGAACAATTCAGCACTCTGCTGTCTTTTCGTCCCTTAGGGAACCGTGGAGTTGTACCTAGCAGTGCTGGGCTTCTCACTGTAAGCCACTCGCATCATTCTGCTTGCCTATTAACATTTTCTGCTATATTTCATAGCTATTTCGTTAACTAATATTAAAAGGATTCAATTAATACTATGAGAAAGAAATTATCTTCAATATGACAATTGAAATCTTAAAATCTTCTGGTCTGCTCAAGCTATTATAACATGATACAGGCATGAGACTTTCTGGCATCTGGAAATGAAGTTTTACTAGTTGGTTTTGTTTTTCTTGCCTACAATATTACCCTAATACACATATTGTTTGTACTTGTATTCTTTTTTATAGGAGGAGCATTGCTCTGAGGTAGATATAATCAGAGCAGCAAAACAAAAGCTAGTTTGAGTTTGTCATGCTTCACCTTTGACAACCTTTTAGGTTTCAGGAAGGCCTAAAGAGTAGTTTGAGTATTGGGGGTAGGGAAGGGAAATGACAAGTGAAAGCACTTGAACAGGCTGCCTGGAGAGGCTGTGGAATCTTCTTCTCTGGAGGTATTCAAAACCTGCCTGGACGCAATCCTGTGCAACCTGCTGTAGCAGGGAGCGTGAGACTGGATTATCTCCAGAGGTTCCTTCCAACCCCAACCATTCTGTGATTCTGTTGGAAACTGATCTGTATTCCAAATAAGCTGGGGAGAGAAAGTTTACCGGTTTGTTTTGTCTTCTTGCTTTTTTCCTACTCAGATCAGTTCTCTCACACAGGTGGCCGTCTGATATACTGGAACAACAAAGGATGTAGCCATGGGGCTGGAGGAGGGTAAAACTCCCGTTAAGCCAGTGTTGCTGCTGGAGAAAGGCTTGTCCTGCTGCACACCAAAGTAAATAACCTGTCAGAGTGGGAATGATGCAAAAGAACTTAAAATTTACATGTTGGTTTGTTGTGGGATGAATCTCTTAACAGCATTGGCCTGTCAGAAAGTACAGTTTGGATAAACAGTAGCTAAATAAGTAGCAAATGCAGTAGTTCGGTGAGAGACGGTCATCACCTGAAAACAGGCAAAATTGACTCTGTTCTGTGTTGTGTTTATTTAGTTTAACTGCTTCCACTGGAGGCTGTTTCCCCAATTCTCTCGCATGTAATCTAGGGGCTGTGCAGTTTTACAGTGGATTTGTTCCATTTGCCAAGACACTGAAAGGCTAACTGATTTTGTTTTCTCTTCTAGTTTGTCCTTCCCAACAGTAATCTCAAGCTCAGCTTCTGCCCATGGGAGTGCTAGATCAGATGTAAGGGAAGGGTGAGAATGGGGTCACATCCTCTAGCAGTAGCCAGCTGTCAGAAAAGATTGAATCCAGTGCAAAATTGCACTTCAGTATTTAAGGACATCGGGGAAGTAAACAAAAAAGCATAGCCTTTAGTTTTCTTTCATTTTCTGTGGTTCTTAATCTTTTTTTATTTTTTTAAAGTATATCAAATGTGTCAGCTAACAGAAGCTTCTCTCCATAATCCCATTTGTTGTCAAAGAAGCATCTCAATAGTTCTGCCAAGGAAGTCCCTTAAGCTGGTCAGTGCTTTTTTATCTGGGAAATACTTTGCCTAAGGTTGAACACAATTATAGCTCTTGCAGTGAAATGAAACTTCCCAGATGGTTGTCAAAGGGATAATTGACAAGGGTTGCTTTCAGTGCTGTCCATTTTGCTTTTATTGATGTTTTTATAAATCACTGGAGCAATAACTACATTCCAGGCTTCCTTGTTTTTTTAAAGCACCATGGACACTTCAAATTTTCTGTAAAATGTAATATTTGCTTTGTTCCCTCTTTTCGCTATTCAGATGTTCCATTACTCATGGTAGTTTCATGTGCTCCATCAACAGCTGTAGCTGATTTTGAATCTGCCTTCTGTTTTGGGAGTACCTTGTTGTTTTCCCGTGGGACAGTAATACAGAAATTGTGGCATTTATATGGAGCAATGACAACATCCAGTGGCTGCACTATGGAACCACATGTGTTAGTCCACAGGAATACAACTTTCTATCAGGAAGACATTGGTTGGTGCTGGCTATATTATCTATCAACTTAAATGTAAAACCTCATGCTGTCCTTACAGTAATACCTAGTATTACAAAGGGGCAGTTGACATCATGGTAGGGAGCTGACTGGATCCATGAATTTCTTTGATCTTGTTTTGCCTAATTCAAATTGAAGAGTTTTAAGTAGCACAAATGCACATTCATGGGAAATGTCCATGGAAGAAGATGCTGTGTTACCTGGGCACTTCTCCTGGGGAGAGACCAAGCAAAGTATAGTTTGCATAATACCCAGCAGGAAGGTGTTCAAATGCTTCCATAGTTTTTGGCACAATGTATTCCTGGCTTAAAGCCCTGTAGTTGTGTTTCCTAATGATTGCTTACGCAATTGTTGTAAGGCAGTCTGCGTGGTCCCACCTGTCTTGCCCCAGCTGCAGGTCCCACGCCATAGGTTGTCAGTCGTGTCACTGCAGTTGTGGCTGCAGGAGAATCCCAACCATCAGGAACTAATTACTGTTTTCCAAGATTAAATTGTTCGTGGACTGTGCACTGACCTAAATCACTGTCTGCCTGCGAAGGCACTGGCAGTTGCTGAGGCATGAGGAGGGAAAGGATGGCAGAGTGGAAGCTAGGACATCCTCCTTCCCTGCCTGGGTGAATTGTATCCTGTCTGTCCAGCTGCTCTGGAAAGGTTGCCTAACACTGTTTCTCCATGAGCACTTCAGTGGCAGCTGAAGCAATTCCTCTTCTTCATCCCAGCACCCAACATTTCTTCTCACAAACTCCCCCCTCCCTGGGTCAACTTCCTGGGTGCATAAATTGGGCTGGAGGGAACAGAGCTGCTAGGACAAACCTCACCCTTGGAAGAGGGCCCTGTAGGTGCAGAGTGGCGTGGTTTGTTCCTGACTGTTGTGGGCTGCTGTGGCGCTGGTGGGATGTATGTGCCTGTGCTTCCCTTCTCCCTTTCTTAGCATAGGCCTCCTGCCCTCCAGTGCAGTCGTTAAGCCAAAGGCAGCAGGAGCACAGCACACTTTCTAGCAGGCCCCAGGATAGGAGTCCACACAGCCCCAGCTGAGCAGGCAGGTAACCAGGGGCTGGTGCAGGACTGCCGCGTGCTGGGTGCTGTTCTTCAAATGCCCCACCAACCACTATTGGGGCTCTCCCCTCCTGTCCTATAAGGGCTGGGCAAGGTGCAGTTTCAGCCCCTGTTAAAGACACCCCCAGTCTCCTCAAGTCTGAAGACACTAACTCGTGTTTGTCTGAAACGCTGTGGAGAACTCACGCCTCAGCCAGCAGTCAGAGGAGCTTACCCAGAGGCACCTTTGAAGCTGTCACTTGCTGAGTACACCGGATTTTCTTGCTGAGTGTTGAAGAGGTCAAGGGAGTTTTTGGGCCAGGATGTCTCTACTTGAAGCCTGTCAGTTCTGTGAGACTAGAAATACCCCAGGGAGGGCCCTGAACACCCCAGCCCCTCTGAATCCAGTCCTTAGGCATTTTTGGGCCTTGCCCCAGTACACCAGCCAGGCATCTCCTCCTCACCACCAATGGGTCTCTGTGGCCAGGCACAGCAGGGGCTGTGCATGACACCACACGGTTGATTTACAAGGCACGTTCCTCAGCAGGAACAGATACTATTTTTTTTTTAAACCCAGCTGATCTGCTGCTGTAATGTCCAGACACAAGGGCTGAGACAACAACACCAGGTAATTGGATTGCTTTGGTTTTGATAGGGTGCACCTTAGCTGTTGTGTTACTTATCGTGATGTTCTTTGAACATGAGCATAGCTGTTGTCGTTCATTTGCTCTGACACAACAGGATTTTGGAGACCTCCTTGTTTTTCCACGATTTCCATTACAAAAGTAAGAACTTGCTGATAATGCTTAATATTTTCCTACTGCTTCACACCTGTTTCTGCTTTTGACCAGAGTTGTAAAGTAAAATGTAAGCCTCCACAACTGCTCCAGTCAGAAGGCAAACATGGTGCTGGAAGGAGGAGTTTGCCTGATGCTGCCCAGGTTATTGACAAAGTGTGTGAGTGAGTTGTCCTCACTCCTTAACTAGGGAGGTAATTAACGGCCATACCAGTTCCTCCACCAGAGACACAGGCAGCCTCTCCCTAAAATGTCACAGAAGAACTTTTAAAAGGCTTGTCCTGCCACTACAGGGAAGGCCATGGCTGCACTTCTGGGGCTGTAGTGCGTTCCTGTACATATGTACATATGTGTGACTACAGCTGTGGTGGAGAGGTGACGAAATCAGAAGAGGACTATGAAAACAGAGCCCTTAATTTATGGCCTGAGCACAGGGAAGAGAATCTTTTTTCCTCACCATGTTAACTGAAAAGCCTGGCTAATGATAAACAGCAGGAGCAGTATTCCTGTAAGGTGTGACTAGGTAACAGTGGGGGGTTTCTTGCTGTGGAAAAAAATAGCATTTTTGATACACCTTTTTTCCTGTTTATTAAATTGAAAAAAGCATTGGTTTAGGTGGATAAAATGAGGGGGTGAAAAAGTAGTTCTAAGAACCAAGTTTGCTTGGGGAAGCATGGCAGAGAGTCCTTCA